ACGCGGAGAAAAAACCAACGATGGAGAAAGCGGGAAGAATGAATCCAATGAATTAGAACTGATCGGATGGGATGGCCCGGCCTTGCAGACGTGACCTTATGTAAAATTATTTTTGTCCATATTAAATATATTGTTCCACGTAAGATCTTATAGATTAGACAGTTACATCATAACAAATCTACAACTTTAGGACTAGGTCCATTATTAGAGCAGTACTGATAACGAAGTAGATCGTAATTCTACATATGTATCAACATTCGTGGTCCAAATAGCTTGACTGTAACATTGAAACTATTGTTAGATAAATAACGTTTAACATCACAGTACACCAACAATACGGATTCAGGAATGTTTCCTCAAAAATATATCAGAAATGCAGTCGTTCGGGACTTCAACATACAACCGATTTATTTTATCCGCACACTTATACAGATATTGTTGAAGCGATATTTCGGGATAATTCTTCAACTGGATTAAAATCATAATTCCCCCGTCAGTTGACCTGTCATAATCGATTTATCCGACTGTAACAATCAAATATTCGACGTTGCTTATGTTATATTCTAGCGAAGATTAAATTACGAGTATTTCCTGAGACCTAGTACTGGACTATCCATATATTCCTGTGGTATAACTACTCAGTTATTAGATCATGTATATTTATATTTATCTTGTTATGCGCTTCATCGTGACCTATATATTATTACTGTACGATTTAGCGTTCCTAAATTATGTTCAGCTTATTGACTATCGTCTCCCACGTTCACAACCACTTTTCCGCTTATTTGTGTATGATTGTTATTTCCTATCTTACAGCACGTTGCGGTCCGTTTGGTTGATATATAAACCCAGTATGTCTGAAATAAATGATTGGCGAAGTGGAAGCTGGTATTGATATTCTGAACTCAAGTGGATAGGCTAGGCGAACAAGGGATCAATAAAGAAGCTAGACACAGTGCTTAGATTGAATAAACCGCATTTGATTGGCGAATAATTTACGAGATAAAAAGCCGGAGACGAGGTCACAACAACTTACAGTATAAAAATGTTTATTAATTAGAAAGTTAGAGTGAGGCAATACGATAGTTTTAATTACAGAACCGATTGAACAGACAAACGAAGATTTGTGCGCACATACAAGCACACGGCTAATGTTTTCTTTTAAAGACTACATTTGCACACAGGATTCATTTTCAAACCATTTTTACATTGGTACGTTTCTGAAAATCCTTGATTGTGTTTCACAATATCGTTCAAGCTGAAAATGAAGAAAATTAGAGTGAAATACATGGAAGTATTTATGTAAAAATGTTATGTAATTTTATGATTTTTCATTGACAAACATACTACACAAACGTTGGCAGTATTTGTTGAGATACATTTGTTGTCAGCGATTGTAAGTTAAACATTTGCATTAGTTGCCTCTTACAACCAAATGTGCACTGCTGGGAATACGTTCAAAGTAATAATAACCTAGTCTTTATCAAATAACGGAGTGAAAACCATAGGTTCTGATAAGTCTTGTAAATTTGAACGCCTCATTCCGTTTCTAAGCTATTCTGGCAACCCGCAAGCTAGAACTACGCAGCGACCTGAACACGAGAGAAGAGGTGCAAAATAAGCGAAAAGCAATTTACTCCAAAGGTTCATTCTTGTACAGAAAACACGGGTATTTAAAGATGTTTTGGCCAATCTACTAAGAGTCATATTATGCTACTGACCAGTAGTAGCACGCCACGTTGATATTCTAAAAAGCTCCATCATGTTCTAATTGGCTAGAACTCCTTAATTGATTTAGGGCCTCTGGAGATTTCGTTACAGTTCTCGGTAGTTTGACAACTGGGTTGCGACGGTGTCTCCTCATTCTTGTTGTCTTCCTTGTCCGAGGCTTCTTTTCAGTGTCCTTGGGCATATGCAGTAGACACACTTTTCCGCGTTGATAGGCATCAGCCACTCCTTAGACCAGTTTACCATATTATTGAAGTCTGCCTGAAGAGTAAATGAGTCTTTGTCTCCAGTTAATACTCGCCAAATTTTCACATCGTCAGCGTATAATAACATTGGAGACTGTACTATACTTGTAAGATCATTAACGTACATTATAAAAAGTAAAGGACCTAAGACGGAACCTTGGGGTACTCCACTAAGTACTGGTCTCCAGATGGAGCACTTGGAATTTATTCTTACTTTTTGCCTACGACCTACTAGGAAATCCTTAATCCATTTTAAAAGAGGTCCGGCAATATCAAGGTTTGCCAACTTCAATAGCAGTCTATTTGTTGGCACCTTGTCAAAAGCCTCGCTGAAGTCTATGTAGACAACATCCACTGGGTTTCCTTTGTCTGGCGCATTAATCCAGAACTACCTAGCTATAAGGAGGTTCGTTGTGCAGGATAGACCCTTTCTAAAACCATGTTGTGCCATGTTCAGCAAGTTATTGGTTTCCATAAATGCCGTTATGGTCCGTTTGATTATTCTTTCCAGTATTTTAATTACAACACTGGTGAGGCTTACGGGTCTGTAATCCGATGGAACTTGTCATGGATCTGTTTTATGTATGGGAGTGACGATTGCGTCCTTCCAGTCCACAGGTAACATATATTGTTCAAGTGACACATTGAATATCACAGTCAGTAGGGCCGCGATATATTGGGCAATATGTCTCAAGATTTTGGGGTGTAGTTCATCTGGTCCTGCTGACTTCTTCATGTTTAAGGTGCTAAGAGCCTTGAGCACATCGTTTTGGTCAAAGTCCACGGTGAGCAGTTGGTTTGTTGACTCTATATTTAGGTCTGATTCTTTCTCTAGAGGAGGTTCCTGAGTGAAAACTGCCCAAAAATAGTCAGTCATAGCCTCTGCTTTTTCTTGATCTTCCTCTATCATTTCAGATTCACTTCCTACTTTAATTAGGTTGGGAATCCAGTGATGCATCCTTGTTCTGTAGTTTATGTACGAGAATATTCTCTTTGGCTGCTTGAGTGCAGATTGTGCCAGCTGCATTTCATATTTTCTTTGAGCTCCCCGAATTTTTGTTATACACTCGTTTCTTATCAGTCTGTAGCGTTCCATCGTACCTGCTGTGCCAAGGCGGATGGCAACGTCCCAGCATTTCTTCTTTTGTCTTAGTAAGCGTCGAATATCCCGGCCTATCCAGGGATGTCTGTGCTTCTTTTTCTTTGGGACAGTCCAGGGTATGTGTGGTTGAGTTACCCGATTGTATAACTGCCTGAATAGAGTCCATGCCTCTTGTACTGATGTCTTTGAGTCAATTTCCCAGTTTTCAGCCGATGCTGCGGAGTTAATTGCCAGCATATCTGCCTTCCATATGTTGGGACGGGCCGGTGCAACTGTTTGACATGCAATCTCAGCCATGAATTTGAATAAGATGACTGCATGGTCACTTCTCCCAAGTGGCGGGAGAAAAGCCATTTGACCAACGTCATCACCGTGTTTGAAGACTAAATCTAAAAGGGAGGAAGAGTTTCTTAAGTCGTATCTTGTGGGATCTCTAATGTGTTGGAATAATGCTAATACAATCGAGGTTTCTAACAGTTTGCAGTCGAACGACGATATGGATGACCCTACTTCTAAGTTAACCCAGTTTATATGTGGTGCATTAGAGTCGCCTACTACAAGACTTTTACCGTTGTTACACTAGGACTTAAGTTTACTTAGGATAAAATCATCTGCTACACATTCTGGACTGCGATATACTACAACTAATTCAATATCTTGCCGTCGGCATTTCAACTTACATCTCACCAGTTCACATGTCCCTGAAACATGTGCTACTGTCTCAGCCAATCTTATGGTTAGGGCTTTTCTCGTGCATAGAATAACCCCGCAGACATATTAATAAGAATCGTTTCATAGAAGCTAGTACGACCACCACCGCAGGGACAGATCCATGGAGCAAAATGAATTGATGCGCATTGGTCATCCTTGACCCTAACGGAGATCGATGATCGGTTCGACATTCAGTGACCAATCTGCCGGATGATTTCACTAGAGCTCAGTGATATTCCACTGGCTCACATACTGTAGCGATAAATAAGTCCCCAAAATAAATAGCTATGTAAGTCCTCGACATTGGGTGCTGACCACATTAGTTCTAATAGACTCACCTAACTGAGGGCGCCTGATTATGCATCCACACCAGATCACGAGTGGGAACTCCGTGCTCAACAACTACTGCAATCGCTAGCCAGATTACATCAGACGATCCTCGATATATTGATAGCGCATCAAATATATCTCCGAACCTCCTCGCTTCTGTCTTTTGATTTCACTCGGTTGATACGATTCATAGTAGTAGGTGTAATTGGTTAAAGCAATGTCAAACTCCAAATACCTGTGACATCTTCAATACTTATATTTGATATTCTTCTCGCTACTCTAAACAGCTATAATGCACAAATATTTCAGTTGGCAGGACGTAAGACGAACAGATACGCAACATAATCGACGTATGTGCAACAAAGAATTAAATTTTAGTCTCTACAAGTAAAGCAGTAGTACCAATGCAACAAAAACTTCGTCAAGAGCTAGCGTTCAGATTATGTGATCTTCCTGTAGCACGCACGTAGAATTTAGAAGTATGCGAATTGACATACTAGCTACGAATCCCCGAAATAGTACTCTTTAAGGCAGATAAAACTAGGTGGGCACAAATAAAAGTTTCATATTCGTAATTTTTAATAAGTGCACAATCAAGTACAAAGGAATCATTGGTTAATACAAATCTTACAATAAGACAATGATATAATGCTAACTATGCAACACAATACGTCTTCGTTGGTGTTGACCTGGCGTCAAAAATCCCGGATTTTGTGATCATCCTTCTACATTAGAGATACAGTATTTTGGGAGATAATCTGGCACCATTTTAATACCGTTTCATTGACTCTGCGAATGCAAGAGAAGTTGAAAGTATAATTCACAACTTAACTGTCTATGAGAGCTGTAAGTATGTATTAGAACACATAGTTCCACTGTGATTTCATCAACATAAAGATAACCACAGCATGCATCGATGTTGTTAAACGAGTCGTTAGCATAGCTTGACTATAGTATTCATCATTTCATATTGAATGCAACAAACTAAAAGGTGCGCCACTTCACGTCTTCGTTTTTCTGTTTCTGGCATTTGCACATTTTAGTTTTAGATTTCTCGCAATTTGTATTACTAACTTAGAAGTTCATACTTGCAGTCAGTATACATAAGCTATGTGAGTAACCAATTGGGATTAAACTTCTTTATATACACATTACATATTCAGGACTTTAGATGTAATCGGTGAGGAAATATGTCATAATTGTTCTCCCATGAATACTGGGTTGGATTTCGGTTATAGTTGTTGTTGTTAATACATATATAGTAGTCGTGCATATGACTGAATCATTCGGTATTTTTAAGAATTCGTAGTTTGGATACTAAGAACACCATGGTTTAGTCAGTCATTAACACCACAGACTTCAAAACATACGGTCTGGCCAAGTGAGATGCCAATGAAGTATATGTAAGCTACGCAATTTATATATTCTGTACAGGAGGATTGAGCATGGGCAGTATTCTTCCAGGAGAATGAATTCTATAGATAGAATGCACAAGACGATTTTGAAGCTCGAGATTCAATTAGAAATGACAGTTGTTTAATTTCACGGACCAATGTCACGTTTTCTGGTTGCCCTCTAGCTGTTTTGTAGCTTACTCATATACTAGCCGTCATTTCGCAACGTGGTAGCTGAGTATACGTAATACAAGTCCCACTCCCCTTATTTGTTGACAATCTGGTTCTTGATCAGTCACCGTGCTTCTCCTGTCTACCACTCTGTATCTAATATCAAAATCGCTTACTCAGTGGCCCCAAATTTCATAAACAGTGCTTCAAAGACATCCATAATCAAACATTAATAATGTATAAGCGTTTTCCATTCCTAAAAACTACTTTGCAGCCGTAAATTGAAACAGGCCAAACTGCTCTAAAATATGCTCGTTCTTTGCTTGATAGACGAATACCTCGTATACTTCACTAGTGACAAGAGTTAAACAAGAGTTTTGCATAGTCCAAACTTTCATCGGGCGTCCATCTACCAAGTCTTTTCAAGATAAGTGAAGTGACCGGCGCTCTCAACCACTTCGCTTCATACCACTAACCTAGACATCGATTCAGATCAGTCGCGAGGCAATATTTCACATCCCGAAAGAGTGAATCACATCCCAAATATGCTTGTTTCGTTGATCAAAGTGGTTGGAAGACTATTTTGGTCAGCGTCTCCAAATACAGCTGTCGTCGTAAGTTACTTATTAGTCTTATTTTGTACAGAAAATTGGTGGTTAGTTTAGTCAACAATTTGTTATATGCTTACGACTATATATTAGACCAATTCATGTTTATTTTTCCTCTCTTTTTAGGTCACCAGACTTTTGATTGCTTCGTCTGATTTCTTTCATATTTGTCTCCCTCGTCGGATTATTACAATGCTGGCTAATGAACGATTGCGTTTCAAGCTTCATTCTGTCAACTATCCGGTGTACGATGTTTTCGATGTTTCAGGTTTTCGCCATAAAATCCATTTGTTTAATTAGTATTACAAAAGATTTGGCGAATGTACGCAATGTGATCGTATGGCTGGAGGATAGGCTTATTCGAGCTCTTCCTGCTGAAGCTAGGTTGCGTGACGTACAATCTTTGGAATGGACAAGCTATTTAAATAAGGTTTGTGCCTTTAGTTCATTTCCCTAATTCATTTCTTTTAGTATCTTCAGGCAGTAAAGTGCCCTTTTAATGAATCTAATTCTTGGGCTATGTTGGATTGGCTTCTTAGTAAAGCACTACTATTGGAATACAACTCATGTAATCATTCGTACTATGATGTCATTATATTTTACCTATAGCTAGAAATACTCAACACAGCAGTATATCTGAGAACCCTACTATTTCCACGAACGCTTTTAATAACATAGATGGTGGTTTAGTGTTGTTTCTCTTTTCTAATCCTCTTAGCTAACAGTGATGAGTTTAAGGAAAATGTTTTAAAGATGGCTAAGTTATTGCAGATTCCTGCCCATCCAGATATCAAAATATTATTTAAGGTGTGGTAAATTGTGTATATTACTCATGTTTTCTATAACCAAGGCCATCTGTTTAGTTATTGAACAAAAACTTGAAGTAAATATATTGAATGATGCTATAAAGAACTATGGAACATCTAAAGTGAGTTGTTTTCAAGTAAAGTTATGCACACTCATCAGCTTTAAGAGTGTTCTTTTATTCTCTTATTGGTTACTTAATTGGGAAAATTCTTTTGTATACAGGTCCGTCTTTCAGCAAACTTTATTACAATCACCTATAATACAATCCCATGAGACGATATATGTTTATTTATTTGACAATTTATTCTTCGTAATATTGAAGCATTTGACTAAGTGTGATGTTCGTTTTTTTCGACTTGCATGTATAAGGTTTATACAACTGATGAGATTAAGTGGGGAAATTATTTTCTGTACCAGATCAAATACAAAACTTTTGTCGCTTTCCTTATTGGTCAATCTTTTGTACTTAGATACCAGATGGTGATAAAGTTGGTGCTATTAGTTAGGTTCTATCGATCAAGGGTCTGGTCTAGTCAGTTATGTAGCTAGGATGATAGGACTACGAATTCAATTTGGATTTTAATGTTTAGGAGTATTTTGGGGGAATTTTCAGTTTTATGCTTCAGGTATACAACCATGTATGGGGTAATTGGGTTTATAATTTCAATAAAACTCATGGCACTAAAGAAATGTAAGCTCACATTTTTTGGCATCGTCAGTCATAAAGTTAATACCGATAACGTGAAATTATCTTACGGTATCTCACTGTCTGAATATGACGTTTCATTAACCATGGAAATTAACCACGTTTAAACGTCGTTAATAGGTTGCAGTGAGGACTTATATGTTTTCAAGGATTTCTAACTTCACAATTTATTCACTAAGGCTACCTTAAATCGTGGAAAGTTAGTCTATCAGTTTAAGCAAGAAAAAAAGTGTAACAAATGACAATTAGAAGAAATATACACCACAGTGAAGTATTTACATGTTTATATTTGAAACCACTACTGAGACCATTAGGAATTTCGATATTAAAATTGGTTTTAGTCTGTATCAAGTTACTTATGGAAACACTCCCTTCGTAACTGCAATTTACACCACGAAAATGCATATATACATATAGTTTCATCGCTTGGTTGTCTGTTTGAGTCATTTAATACTTAAACCATATTTGTACTCATAAGTGTTTGCTTAAATAACAAGATAATTATTGCAATTCAGTAAATATATAGTAACTGGGAAACAAGGCTGTGGAGAACATGTTTTGTGAACTCTAGGTATCTTACTACTTTGCTCTTCGACCTAAAAGTAAGTAAAGCATAGTACAAGCTTACAACAAAGTTGAGCAAAGTCGATTCTCTTAACTATTGAGCCATAGTTTTATATGGTTAGAAAAGAAATGCAGTGAAATATTATGTAGTTTCTCTCCTTTTTGAGAGGTTTGATGAACTTCAGTTTATAAGAATATTGTTTTCAAGCTTATCAGTAGTTAGCTGTTCATCTACTCAGTGTTTGGGAACCTGGTTTAAGATTATGAAAAAGATTTGTTGCTCAGATGGTTGCACTTGTTTGTTCCTTTGCTTGAGCTAGGTGGTTTGATCGTGCTGCTTTAACTGTCCTTCTGAACAATATCGTTGGTGAAAACCACAGAGAAGAGTGAGGTATTTATATTCATCTACACATGACTGACCGTTCTGTCTACCCTGATTGTTTGTTCCTGTTACCACCGATACTGTCACTATCCCTACGATTTTCGGCTCTATTTTTCCTTAGTAATGAAGTATGGTATGATGTACATACGCACCAGGTTTCACGTTGTGACTGATTGATTGACCCGTCCTGTTGTTATATGCACATTTATTTTGATTGTCATCCCCTGTAACTTCATTTTCGATCTGGCTGCCCACGACTTTTTAATTAGGTGAAAATCGGACCGATTCCGACACATTTATTGATTGCTAATGAATCTTAGTGCCAAGCTCCCGAAAGTTCAGTGGTCTTGGCATTCCTTCTATCAAAGATTTCGACATTTTCACGGTCAAACGTACATAATTGTCTACGTAGATTGATATGCAAGAAGATACATCCTAGTGTTCAACAACTAGGTGATGTTGATGCATGTTAAGATCACTTAATTTGCAATTTATTGCTTGTTGCAAATAAAGAAAGACTAATTTATGCATGACATTTAAGCAACGCCAAAGTGACCTGAAGAATATTCTCCTACTTGCTACGGTTATAAGAGGGTCATAAGTTAGTGTGAAGTATTATGATCAGCGTTAACAATTGGATGTTAGGTTTTCATCACGAACTGGCATAAGCTGTAGTGCTAAAAGGCTATTTAACCTATGGACGAATAAATTTTGCGCCCAAAATTCTGATTGGTCCGTCCACATGTTATAATCTATCAGCACCTGAAGCAAATAAATGTTAACTTTTCTACTTTCTCCATTTCATTCCTTTCGGTTTCCATGAGATTGACTTGGTTTATGTTCTGCGTATATTCCAAACGCTCCCAATAACCTTGTTGTGACTCCTGATATGTCCTTCATATGTGGTAGGGTGACTTATTTGTTGGTTTTCACACTTATTTTCGTTCCTGTTGGTAATAAGATTGTTTTATCATTTGAAATAAAAGCATCCTTTTGAAAAAAACGTACTAAAATAAGTAATACTTTCAGAAAATATGGTAAGTTTATGAGTTTGTATGATGATTTTTTTAAAAAAGAAACCGCATTGTTTGCAATGATAACATTTGGAAGAGATAAAAATATACAATCTGAATGTTGCGTTTTTTCGATTTTAAATCCTTGTACATAAAATTCACGCACTTTCTATTTATTCGATTTTCTTGCATCGTTTAGGTTGATATGCTAAAGCTTGATGATGTATGCCTTGGATTTAGTGTTAAAGATCCTCATGTAAAGGCTGCAGCTATTGCGTTAAGATTGTTAAATATAGATCGGCTACGAAAATTACAGAACCAAGCAAATGCTAGCATAGTACATGTTCAAAAATTGACAGCAGACCCAAAAACTGACGAAAGACTTGGAAAAGTTGGCTTTTAATTTTTTTTTAATAAATAATTTGTTGAATGGACAGATTTCTGATCTGAAATTATTACTTTTAAAGTGAACGTTTTTTGGTCTTATGATAGCTGAATATTGTGTATGCAGTCACTTCATGATGTCTCCTTTTGTTTTCGTATCGGTTTGTTTTCCTCGATGCGCATGTCTGGAAAACTAGTTATTGTCACTTTTTAAAGATGAAGCCAATGTTATTATCAGAGAGTTGATTAAAGTATTCAATATAGCATGGTGGTAAACTGCAAAGTACCATCATGCTAATAGTCTGCCATTACCTATATTTCTAGTCTGCAACTAGACTTTAACTATCCAGCCGTTAAGCAATGAACGTTTATGCATTCTGTACACATCACAAATTAACAAACGGAAACGGATTTTGTATTTTAGTTAAACCACTTTTCCAACCGACATCAACATATATATTGATTATAGTCGCACCTAACACTAATAGTGAGTATCGAAAGCATGAAAACAACTTTTATATCATATTTTATTTATATACATATTTGAAGGAAACTCAAAATATCTTGATCAAATAGGACAGTGTATAAATAAACTAAGTTATAGAAATCATCAACTGTAATTACAAGGAATAGAGATGTGTATAATTACAGCGCTAAGTAATATAAAGGATTAACAGTAATCGAAAGATATCATGTTTAATTACATCGTACACCAAGTGGTAACCAATAAAATGGTTCAATCGGTTCAGTTTGTTCCAGTTCAATGGCTGTTAATAGTGCACGTGTAACAACAGCTTCAGATGCTGGTTCCGGTGTATTTGACGAACCTAATATGTCAGCAAGTAAACGCCATACACGAAAACTTGTTGGGTCCACGTTCATTGCATCTCGTGCTACACGTTCAGCCAGGGTTGTTTGATTATTTTTATGTAAAAGACTAGCCTGATAAATAAATGATCGTTATTATAATGGATTAAACAACAGAAGGTGAAACAAGGATATAAAATTATACAGATGTATCCTAGAGTACAACCGTAACGATTATCATTAGCGAAATTGAATGGACTTATTAATGAAAACGAAAAGCACCCTACAACGGTCATTTCGATGGCATATCTACTGTTTTAAGGAATAAGTACCATGTGTTCTTTATCAATGAAGCTCATCATGACACTAATTCTGACTTTTGAATGTCGATGAAGGACGTTGAAATCAGTTGACTAATTTAAATTTTTCAGACCGGAACGTTGCTATTTGACTTCAGTAAATAAAACATCACAAACAGCTCCCGAGTTTGAAAAATCCAAGGTGCACCGATATCTTTAACTATGGATAAACCATATAAACAACACAAATGAGAAGCGGAGAAATCAAACGTGCCAACTCAATTTAATGAAGCGAGACTTATTATTTGTAGTCAGATAGGGGAAAAATTAAAGAAGTGACGGAGAGAGTATGTGGTAAACACGAACAGCCATGCCAAAAAATCAGGATTACAAGCGAATAGGTAACAAGGTAAAATATATGTGTGGACAGAGACTCGAAAAGCTAGTTGATTTGTCCAAAAACTACGTAAGCGTGAAAAGTACTAAATGCTACAGCTCCAGATGTCGGTGGTACCGTACCTATCGCTTTAGGAGCCAATACGGTCTTCGCTAAAAGCTATCGATTCACCAAAGCTACCAACATCCTCGATGGAACATTGCTTACCATGTAAGCATGTCAGCAAAGACGTCCCAAATATCAACAAAATGCTCTTTCAAATGATAGTAAATATTTAACTTACTAAAGAAAGCAATGCCTGTAAATGGTCCGGCTTCAATGCAATAACGCTTTCATATAGAGATCGGGCTATGCATACGAGTCCTCGTTCTTCTGCTAAACGTCCACGCTGCATAATTACAAACAGTAACAAGAAAATATCAAAACTCCAATTGCAATATTATTACAGAAACGAAACTCATTTGTGGACACAATCATCTGTTATTAGCAGAGATGGGTGATAGCTAGTAGTGGAGCTTAGGACGCGAGTGTCGTCCCACTTGTGACTCGTCGACAAGGTGTACCTCCATCCCGTAGGTGATGTTCCTTTCAGGATTCAAACTCATTACCATTCGCTTCATAACTTACCGCATTATTTACTTAGCTACTGAGTCGAAGTGGGCGCTGACTTGTACAATGGGGTGAAGTTTAATTCGTTTGTACTGGTTATTTGAATCTACTTATTGATGTTTAGAACCACGATTAATCAATCACTTTGGCATACGTACATTTCGTGCAGACTCAACGAGAATATTGAAGCAATACACACAGGAAGCAAATACGCTAAAAAGAGACTGATCAATTGCGATCCTAAACGTCAATGGGAAGACTCAAACAACCAATACAAATGTATCATATTTATATCGCAGTTTATAGGGATTGGGGCTGAACAACTAATCATAATTCGAGTCAGGACAGATTAATAAGTTTTTTTTAACATAAGTATATACACACTATAACTAAATAAGTCTAAGTAACGATGAGTTTGCTATGACAACACAGTCAAATGGCGAAATCGTGTATTTAAAAGGTCATGTTTTTCACAGAATAGATCCTCAATTCCTAAATGAATGACAGAATTCGAATTAAGGGAGTACATATAAGGGAGTTAAGACAGTCGTTTATTTATTCAAACCAAAGCAGTATGGTTGTGAGTCATTCAACGAAGAACAAATAACCATTAACTAATGATAATAGTCACTAAAAAAAATGCTGGAAACCATTATGTCGTATGTATTTACCCGCAAGAAAATCAGAAACTACGATTCAACGAAAACGTTTGCGATACTATTTCAAATGCACTGTAATAATACTATTAAACCAAAACTATGCCCCAAACTTCATATAACTGTTGGTGAGCCAATTTAAAGTTGGTAGCTCATTCGATGAGAAAATGAATTTGCATCAATAAATTAGTCGAAATATACATATGGATGATAATAAATCTTATGAGGGAAATGTGTGATGATTACAGTTGTAAAATTTAGTTGGATAAGGAAGTGTAATCATAGCAATACATAATATGGCTGGTAGTCGGTATTGAATGTTGACTTGAGTCCTATAGAAATTGTGACTGATCATAAACCTAACATATTTTAGAAGATACTGTCTATACAAAAGTCAATCGACTGATGGCGTCGGTGGTAATGTAGACCTGGCTCATGGAGTAGAGATCTAAGAAGTTGTACACTCAAGTAGTATGTTGAAAAACATGTGTAAACAATCCAAAAGTATTTTGGCTCAAAATGTAATTTATACATCGCAGTATCAGTCAATCATGAACATAGTGTTATGTCCCAGTTTAAGCTACCACAGCTAGAAGAAAAATTAACAGGACGTAAAACAAAGAAATGAAGGTATCAATATGGACTGAAGAATAAACACGATTAAAAAACAAACTATTGGAAGTAGAGGTTTTGGATAACACTATGTTGAAAATTTAGAAAAAAAGGATGAATGAGAGGGAATCACTGGCAACGATTTTGAGCCATGTTATTAAAGGGATCTACATAAACCCATTTACCATCACTACCTAAAAAACCTACTTTTAAACTTAGCAAAATCTCTCAGATAGCGAAGCTATCCGAGTGAAATGCTTAAGGTTACCTATAATCCAGTAATGAAGTTCTGTTTTCGGGTTTTAGAAATATTGAATATATCTATGCCATACGATTTTAGAACCGAAGCTTGTAAAATCTGTTTTCTGGTTTGACAAAGGGTTGGAACATTGAATACTTCAATATGTAGATTAAAAGGTTAGAAGTGGTTGTACATGAAAGAGAAGATGAAACCATAAATTAAGTGATAACAGGGATATAATAGGTTAGAGGATTGAAAAATTTAGATACGTTAATATTTAAAGACCTGTTGGGTTGGGAATGCACTAATAAAGCTCAACAATACCTTTAGAACGGTCATGAATAACCTTTTCTTAAGTGGTTTTTTTCCCTCAAGGACTGACTGTAGACTTTCAAACTTTACCACCAGAACCAAAGATCCGTGGTACGAGGGGAGCAATCATATTTTAGAAGAGTGGTACCATCATTATCTTTAGGAAACATATTGCTGGCATATTCTCAAATAGTCGGCAGTACAACTTCGTACAACTCCGAACTTAAATATGACAACTTTGTCTTAACAACTTCTAAGCTGGCACACTGGGACCTCAAACAACAAATGCTCAAGGCAATATAGCTTGGTTGGGTGAGTGTTTGAGATACGCTCGATAATTACATTCAAATTTTCTTGTCTAAACTTCCTCAACAGGTGCAATCTATGCTTGTCTCGTTTCAAAACAACAACAATACCTGTGGCATCTTCAGTTACTATGGTTGGGTTTTCAAAATAGAAGAAACAATACTAACATGTGCACTTCATCCTTTGGTTTGCTCCATAAAAGTTAAGCAAGCTAGCACGCAAAACATGGAACTAGGTTTAAGAATACGAGGCAATCAAGACTTCATTCATGATTGTAAACAACTTTGACAGTGAATAAATTAGTTGAAATCCAGACCTACTGAGCAGTTGTTTAGCACTGCTTTGATAATCTTGGGTAGCTAAACAAGAATAGCTATTTTTATGATCCAGAACGATGATTCTAAAAATTTATGGAGAACAGATAAAGCAATTCGATGACTGTACTTCATCAATACAAACGGTCGATACTTTTCAACACAACTGAGCCGAACAATCCAAGGGGTTTTAATAAAACGTTCTATCCTCGGAGGCCAATTGAGAGTTCTACGACACAAAAAGGCAAGTATATGTTAGTGTTGAAAGTCAGCTTTTGCTACAAAAACCGAAAAATCTTTATAATTATTAACTACTAAACATTAAAATAGGACATACAAGATATAATGTTTGATTATCAAGACCACCAATTTTCATTACTTCATCTAATGCTTCTTTGGCTTCAAACAGTTGATTATTGTCTAAATATGACTCCGCTGAAATAAATTTTGAAGATTAATAGTGTGTTAAAATTTACTAAATCTTAAATAAGCAGTGAACAATATTGTTTTCGACTAGGATCTAATTGAAAACAATATTGTTCACTTATATACGTTGTTCTAAATCACAGTATGGGAATATTTCAAATTTTAAAATAAGTAGGATAATATGCATTGCTGTTTAAAGTTCAACTAGACATATTCGACAGGGTACTTGACAAAAATGGAAGATTGGGTGACGTGGTAGTGAATATTTGTCGATAGACGTGGTTGGGACCTTTTGGTTGAATGTACAACCACTACGAAAGATGTCTCGCGTAGAAGACTAGAAGGAAGTTGGGGGCGGTAAAACCAAAACGTGACATCAGTTCATGCCCCCGAATGCCCTGGTACGGCCGAGAGTGGGGTGAGTCCGCTCTCCCTCTCGAAATACTCTCACACGGCCGCGCGTATACAGCCTCTGCCAAGGAAGTCCTACTCATTGCCTTCTCGTGGCGGGGGTGTTGTTTACGAAAATGAGAGGACGAAAAGCGAATGTCCGGCGCTTTAACCGGATCACAAACCAATGGTGCACATGGGCTCCAGTATCCTGCGGGAACAAATGGCGTATGAACCAATCTTTGGTCACCGGCTACCATGGGATTGCATCTCCTTACGATGCTCCACTGCCTTGTGGGTTAGACCTTTAGGTCAAAGGCTCGGGGAGTGGCCCCCTAAGAAAACCACCTGCTTCGGTTTGGGCACCCGGGCAGTATCACAGCCCACACACAAACGATGAACTCTATGTCGACATCAGTTCATGAGGACACTGACAACTCGATAGTCATATTAATAAGTGTGGGCTACTTGATCGAAGTGCGCGTGATTATCGTAACCAATGGTTACAGAATTAATTGGTGTTGCACTAATAATCCTAAAGTCCTAAGGAGAGCAAGAACGAAGATTGGTGCAGAATAATATGAATTCATTTTATTTCGTTAGGTTTTCATCAGCTTCTTACAACCTAAAATATTTGAGAATCAACGTTATTACAGATATTGACATACAATGTTGATGAAAGATGAATATACGTATCATGATGTAGCGAAGATTTCAAGAGTTAATAAGGTCATAAAAATTTTATTTCGTATAAATAAAGTTTGGGAGGGAAGTTCTAGAACACTGAAATAGTGATTAGAACTCGTGGAGTTAACAAACATTGGATGATTTTATAATGAAGCAACTTGAAATAAATTAATGGCAATAAAGAAAGATATGAATTGAGATCAGTCAATTATGAATTAAAGAAAAACGACAATGATGTTATTTAAACTTTAGAAAGATTTGAAATAGTGAATGACGCAATAAACAAAAAAGGAGGGTAATGTTACCAGGGCAAAGAAAGATTTTTGTATACAGAGATGTGATTTTAGACGTTTAATCGCTATTGCTTCGACAAATTTTAAAAGAATGGAGTTTGATTGTTTGTTAATCACCTCGAAGGACTTCAGTGTATCAATTCATGTCCTGTGTCAAGATGTCTTGCTATGGCACTGCTGAATGCTTTTAACCCATTTGATCTTAAACTTTTCGGAATATGTTCTTTAAATCGGACGTAGGCTCTCTTTTCTGTTCTACTAATGTAGCTGTTCTGTCAGATACATGTAAATTTGTATACAAAGTTGGTGGTAACATGAAAGGGATGTCTATCGACCTTTGATGGTGTCGAAGAACATGTTGTTTCGGACAGGACAGTCAGTTTAGCTGCAGGATAGGTTCTTATCAATGCAGTTTTTAGTCTCATATTGATTGACCCTGTGACATAATCACCTTTGAATTGAAGTTGAATAAAAATACGTTTTTATTTGCTGTAGTTTCTTTGGGTTTTTTTAATCTTTACGTTTACCACATTTCTCAATAAATTTTAGTGGGTATCCGTTATTCTTTAAACACTTTATAACTTTCTCTTCTAGAGTATCGGCAGTATATATTCTTTCTGTTCTGTGAAGCACTGTTTTGACAAGTGCCTTTTTGTAACTGGTTGGACAAAAGCTATTGAGACTGAGATAAACCCCGTTCCATGTGTCTTTTTTATAAACTGAACGCTGAACTGTACCATCCTTCCTTCGTTTCATTGCGATATCGAGAAAGTGGAACTTGTTTTCATTTTCATGTTCCATAGTAAAATGGATATTTGGACGGGCTTCATTGAAAAGTTTTAGCCGATTTGTTGATTATTACGTACGATGAAGGTATCATCAGCATACCACGAATAATACATCATTCCATCATTCGCTCCTTTGATCTTGGTTCTTTCGAGATTAGCCATAAAAACATCTGCTAGGGAAGGACCTAACGGACTTTCCATTGCTACACCATCGGTTTGTCGGTATATGAAGTCAACTGATAGGCACTTACAACCTGCTTAATATGAACTGATTTGCAGTTTTTTATATTTTCCGTTCTTTATGGTGTATTATTCAACATTACTTACTATTATTCAGTATCTGATATCATTTTTAAACGTGGAGTTCATAATGTATATTTACTGTACTTTATGTAACTTCATTTAACAGTTATTTCCATCTTATTGTATTCCTTTTCCATCAACTGAGTTTTGTATCTATGTAGTAAGTTGTTCATTGAAAATGCATTTATTCTTAACAACCTCTATATTTGATGCTGAATAGCTCTAATTACTAAATTGTTATTCACTTTACGATGTCTTATGAATTATTTATTAGATACGTGTTTAAAAGAAGCATCCTATCGTTGGCCTTGTTTTGCTAATACCACAGCTCACTGTTTTAGACCTATAGTCCCAGCTATTTGTTATTTTTATATCAATAACACCTATTTTGCAGATAAATTTCTTGCAATGATTTTCAAACTTCATGTGTTCCTCAGTTATTAGGTTATAATCCTCTGAAGGATCTATTAGGTTTCAATTAAAATGGAAAGCAAAATACAGACTCTTAACAGTGAACAGATAGAATAATGAAGAACTTCGTTTACTGTACAGTTTAGAACTTAGAAAGAGCTGAATAATGAAAAAACGTGAGGACAGGGAGAAAATGTAAACGCACTCACATAATACTTACCTAGACCTTGGTAAATTTTAATTTGTACTTTCAAAGCAGTTGTTTGATTTTGATTGCCCGGACGAGATTGTCTTGGAAGCGGTACGATAGATGCACCAGTTTGGCCAGCACAACCAATCGCTATATCAGATAGCGCAGACTGTAAGTAATTGCTGTTGTTAGTTTTTTCTTCCCATACATTTAGTATTGAACAGTCATCGTCTAATTCTAACGACGGACTGAATGAAGAAACACTGGAGAGTGTTAAGTCATCAGGAGTATTTGAATTAGTTATATCGTTGTTATTTGATAGGGCAGCTTTTCGAATTCGATTGAATATTACCCTTAAAAATGTAAAATGTGTAAAATTTATATTACTTGAAAGCTTTGAAGCATTAATTAACCTGAAAAATAGACTTTAACATGAATCAAATGGAATCAATTGAACAAATAATAAAAAAGCCAGGAAGTATATGTATAATGGATCTGGTTTTAGTTTGACGTGTTTTCATGAATACGTACATCCCAATTCTTATACGGTCTGAAGAATAAACTACATCATCATTGAACAAATATTTAGCAGTTTCTAAGTACTTCTAGTGATCTATTATGAAAAGGTAGGCATATGTAATTGACCCATAAAACAAACTACTATCAACCATGATAACTCTTAAACGAGTTATCTCAGTCGACAGACAAATATCAAAAACCTAGGATTTATCACAAAAATATATTGGTCGAGAAGACGGTATAATTGTGAGAAATCATATAAATATTTGATATATCATCCAACTAATTAGATTTTATCATTGTGTACTACTATGAATAAATGGAATTGTATGGAACAGTACTTCCATATAATAAAGTTCAGTGATTCAATACGTTTAAGAAGCCTAGATTATTGTACTCAGATAAGACACGTTTTAGATTTGAGAACTAGTGAAACTATCCGGTTGCCAAATTGAAAGTCAAGTGGTCTATCTATTAAACAACCACTGCAAAACAGTCAATATATTTGTAACCAATCAGTTCACGACTTTATTTTGTCATACCACGTAGGAATCACTTTTGTGAGTTTAATAAAGATACTTCTAATTTGACTAGTACATCATACAAATAACTGTCTTGTATTCATACTTGGTTGTTATAATGAGCTTATAAATTCATGATCAAATATGTTTAACAGAAAATCTATCATACATTCTATCAATATATAGGTATACACTGATGTAAAAAAAAAACTGTAATAAGGTTTATTAATAGTATGAGAAACTTAAAAAAATTACTTTGAATTAGTCCCTAACGAGAATGTATCACGCCATACTTTTAACAATTGACGATAGACTTTCAAACCAGCTTTAGGATTAATTCTAGCTTCTTCAATTTTAGCTAATAAAAACAATAAATTAAAATCATTTGGTCTATCGCTTAAACCAACATATAATGCCTTTGCAGCTTGATCTAAACGTTTCCCTCCAGCTGTATGCAATAACGCTAATAAATACAATGTATTGGAATGTATTGGCATTAATTGTAAACTTTGTTGACAAATTGACAAGGCTTCGTCCAAATGACGTTGTGTAGCCAATTCAACAGCTAAATGATACCATCCTAGATAATCATCGGGATCTAGTTGAATAGCACTTTAATGAAATGAAAAAATAAAATAAAATAGATGATATGCAAAAGATAACCATATAGGAGGAGTCGACAGTGAACTTCCCTAATACATACAAACAATTTCAACTTAACTATTGGAGTAAGGTGATAAATTCACTAATTACTGTATTTCGATAGAACGATGAGAAGACGGAGTCGATCTCATTGTTCTATCGACATTTATAAAAGTGACTAATTGCTTTAAATTACTGTATTAATGTTTATTATACAGGAAATTAAACTTTAAACAGAATGAAAGAATTAATATTTCCGTCGAAAAGAAAATTTTCCTCGCTGAATTCACTTTATTTGTATTCAATGACACAATGGGTCATTTTAATCATATAAATAAGTTGTGAACAGACTTAAAGGTCAGGTAAACAATGTATGTACAAATAAAGTGGTTTCATCAGAGCTTTGTATCAACAGCAATGTCTTTTGAAGTAACTCTATAGACATGTGGTTTCTAATGATTCAGTTATACCTCTTAAAGCTCCTTTAGTAGTAAAATGAAATACGCACAAAATTTGAAAATCATTAATATAAGCTTTGTGAGAAAATATAACCCAGAACCCAACTTTAGCACAGTTATAGAGACTACCTTGTTAAGGTTCATGTGATTGTTGTAACAAATGATCAGAGACTTTGGGTGATATGGCTCAAAAACATTCACAACGCCGGAGGTACATTTGGTCTTTGTCTTCCCCTAGATCCTGATATACAAAAACTCTTCATACATTTTTCATTTTACACTACATCTTTTTTATTAAAGCTGATACTGTTATTAATTCTACAACTCTGAAATTTGGCTTGATAATTTCATCACGCTTGTGCTAATGTGATGTGGCAATTTGAACAGATGCACGTACGTGCCAGATTATATATTGCATATGACTGGAAGAGAATAAAGGGACCTAGTGCATATATAAGCTGTATTAGCTGACAATTTTTAGTGTAACTGAGGTGACCAGACTGATAATGACCTGATAAAAGTGATCGAATACTACGATTTTAATATTCTAACTTGAAGAAGCTTATGTGCATGTTTCTCCACTATGAAATCGCCATTTCTAGTCTCCTTCACACTGTATAGGTCTGACCAGTTATTCATTGCTATAAATATTTTCTAAACATTTAACATAATCAGAATACGAGGGTGGTATTGTGATTATATGAGGTAACTCGACTTATAAAATATCATACTACCTTAGATTATAAAAAGGGCACTTACATTCTATACTCTTTTACAGCACGATTACGCAATTCACTTTTTTTATCTACAACACAACATGACCTGGCTAATATAGACCAACCCCAACCAACTAGTAAATGAGCACGAGCCATAAAGGCGGTTTCAGACTGTGCAGAAACCTAAAAGAAAATTTATGTATACAATATATTTGTATCTAAACAGGAAGAATTCAATATAAACAATATATATGATTGTCAATATAGTTGGTTAGTTTTTCGTTTAATGTTAGTGACAATGAGAATTTGTGAATTATAGTGTCAAATCTCAGTATTATTGGAAGCACAGACTATCAAGTTAATGTAGACAAGTGTAATTGATAAATTTTGAAATTAGATGCTCAATCCCATTGCTAGAATTTACAGAACATAAAATTAAACTACATAGTAATATAAATAAATAATATATTCTCTGAAGAAGTGGCATACACTAAGTCACAAAACGTCAGAAAATCTGATTTTTCTACTTATTGGGATATTACAAATATATTATTTATTTATAACAATTTACACGACGCTCAATTTATTCGAAATTATCAAATCAAACTCTGGTAATGATACCTATATAGTAATACATCGTGATATAGTAGTGTTGTTTTTTGATATCTTAATGAAACATTACAAGTATACCATGGTTATATTATCAACATTCTATTCAATGATCAATTTATCTGAAATTATTATTCTTGATAATGATAATCATCAACATAGTTCCCTTTATCATTTTCAAAAGAGCAAGAACAAAGATTCTAGCAGAATAACATGAATTCATTTTATTTCGTAGGTTCTCGTCAGCTGCTTACAACCTGTGGTATTTAGAAAGATAATAATTGCATAATGGGTTGAAATTGCTTACATGAGATGGTTTGTTTGGAAGTTGTATTGAAGATATATTCGTAAAGTATATCATGGGTGTAAATATATACCTAACGTGAAAGAATATTCTACAGCATTAATTGTGGCAACAGTTCAAAAGGGGTTAGGAACAATTGATTACATAATGAATAAACATTGATAGGAATATAGTGAGTAGAGTTCAGTTGAAAGATTATTATTTTTTTTAAAGATAGTTGAAAAAATAAAATCAATGAGGTAATAAATAAAAAGATAAGATAAAAAATCTTAAGCTGCAGCGGAAGAATATTTGTCACCAAGGCAGGGAAAGATTAATAATCATCTCCTTTTGAACACATAAATCAGGTTTTTGGCGCCTGATAGCAACTGCTTCAGCAAACTTCAGAAGACTGGAGTTTGGCTGCTTACTAATCACCTTGAATGATTGTAGGGTGTCAACCTGATGGCCTGTGTCAAGGAGATGTTTAGTGATTGCACTACTTAGAGTCTTTCTTTCTCCTGTTCTGAGGCTTTTTGGAACATGTTCAAAAATCTGAGATATGCCCTCCTTTCTGTTCGTCCAATGTAGCTGCTTTGGCAGGTACATGTAATTTATAAATACAATTGGCGGTAACATGAAAAGGATGCTTATCAACCTTTGATTGAGTTATTGAACATGTTGTTTTATACAGAATTTGAAGTTTGGCCGCCGGATAGGTTCTGGCTAGCGCAGTATTAAGTCTCCTGTTGATTGTGTTAGCAACATCATCACCTTTGAAGTTAAGACTTATAGTTATTGGTTTTTTATGGACAGTAATTACTTCAGTATTATTTTCCTTACGCTTTTTATATTTGTCCATAAACTTTTGTGGATAATAGTTGTCTCGTAGGCATTTTTGCACGTTCATCAATTCTTCTTCCAGCTTATCAGTGGTATATATCTTTTCTGCCCCATAAAATACTCTACTCGCTATATTCCTATCAATGTTTATTCATTATGTAATCAATTGTTTCTAACCCCTTTTGAACTGCTGTCACGATTAATGCTGTAGAATATTCTTTCACATTAGGTATATATTTACAATATTCAGTCTATTAATTTCATTTACACCTATGTCATACTTTACGAATATTTCTTCAATATAAACCCTCTCATGTAAGCAATTTCAACCCATTATACAATTATTATCTTTCTAAATACCACAGGTTGTAAGCAGCTGACGAGAACCTACGAAATAAAATGAATTCATGTTATTCTGCTAGAATCTTTGTTCTTGCTCTTTACAAGATAATCATTAAATTGTATAATTAATATTTAAAACATTCGGAAAACAATTTTATTCATCCAGTTGAAATTAATTAATTCAAACCAGTAGCAATAGAAATTATTATATGTGAATAGATTGATAAAAAACACATTATAAATAGGTAGGAATAGAAATATTACCTCTACAGCCTGTGAAGCTAATTCCATGCCTTCTTCAATTAAATTCAAATGACCCAAACATAATGAACTAGCGAATAGATAAACGGATATTTTAGAATTATCAATTCGTAAACATTCGCGTAGAGCCAAATAACCACGATAATACTATAGAGAATTGAATGATAAACAAGTCAAAAGAATAAAGCTCAATGCTCATCATCGAATTTAGATTATTTAAAAATGCTTGCTTCCATATTGGCTAAAAGCTGAACAAGTTATAAAAAAAACTAAAAGTAATGAACTAGGAACAGAAACCAGATAAATACGATTTTGTTACTTATTTATAAAATATAAATTATTTTGGTATAACAAAGTTATTTAAAAGATGTGCCATATAAGGGTTTCTTCTCATATTGTCTGGGGTAGGTATGGTCATGATGGTTAGAGACCTTGAATCACATGGCTGAAAATCGTTTGCAATGGCGCAGGTCCATCCACTCTTTGTGTTCGCCCAAATTCTAATCTTCTGGGTTCTTCATGTCCCTATTTTTCCTCTTTCCAAATTTATTTCACTGGATTATACTCTTTAAATAACATCTCCAAACCCTAGTCTTTCTGATTACTGCTTATACTCTTACTACCTCTACAACTACGGGATTTGAATCGACAACTGCATCTCTGTGCTAATGTGGTATGGCAACTCGAACTGATGTACGCACGTACGAAGTTCTACGTTGTTACTGACTGATGGTCATGATACACAGAGCGAGGTAGACTGGATTTGTTAGGTTACACAGCCTATCAAGAAAGTATGATAACGTTGAATATAAAAGTGAACGTGTCATATTGAATTACTGTATCATCTAACTTCTCAAATGTTATAATTTTTACGCTCACTACCAAGACTATTCAGACCACTTATACAAACATACACATGAGATGTAAGTGATATGGTTGAAATGAGAAGTTTCACATTTAGTTTATCTTCCTCTTTACTTTATAATTAGGAGGGTTACGCATTAAAAGCACCTATTATTAATACATTTTCAAAGTACAGACTGGTATATATAACTATTTAGCCTGATAATAATGTGTTTATAATTTCCAAAACAAACAGATACGAAATTTGAGGCATTTACAAATAGGACATAAAATGATTTTTATCCACTTTTAAAAATAATATAACTTTTTGGTGAATTTTTTAATGATTCTATGTCCGGTTTTTATCACGTGACTTATCCACCAATCAAAATACGACTTATACAATCTTAACACTATGCCAAACCAATGGCGCTCAAGCGGTATGAAGAGTCTAGCGTCCTTATTGGTCCTATATCCTCCTAGTCCGTCAGCTTGAGTCCAGAACACAATACTAGCTTCTGCAATATGAATCGAATCGAATCGTTTATTTCAGACATACTCGGTTTATATAACAACCAGACAGACCACAACGTACGATAAAATAGAAAATAACATGTTTACAATATTTGGCCAAATGTGGCTGTGATAAATTATAGGTCAGAATAAAGCTTATAATAAGAGGGATATAAATATACATAATCTGATTATTGAATAGTTATACAATAAGAATATTAGTCCATTAATAGTCCTCGGAAGTTACCCGTAATTTAATCTTCACTGGGATATAACAATTTTATCAAGTCAATCGTACACAAGGCTGTACAAATGTTTGTCGGTTCAGTTTAAACCAACTCACAAGAGTATATTGTGGTAAACTCATCAAAATGAAAAACAGAACAGAGGAAATAATCATATCAATGGTATTGGAAACTAAGCATAGGAAATATAGATCGGAAAGAACCGCCGAAAGTAGGGAATAACACTAAGTTAAAGATATAAAGTAAACAGGACCAATGGATTTGTGCTACTATTATCGAATGGGGACCATAGTGTTAGTCAAGTCTTTTAAACGTGAATTATGATAACCTCGTGGACTACAACCAGAAGGTCGACGATTTCTGGAGCGACTCAGTTCGATTGTCCATAAATTCATGAACTGACAACATTTCTTTATTTAGTTACAACCAGTTGTTTACAATTCTTTGCTAGTTAGCATAGAAGGTGGACGTAAGCGATGGCTGACAGATATATTGTTCATGTCAAGCCACTGCCTTTTTTAATAGGCAATACTTTTATTAAAGATTTGAGAGGGAACAATGCATGTTGCAATAAATCCAAACAACAAAGATATAATAGTAAAAAACACTAGGGATTATGTAGAATATAAATGAGAATTTTCTGCAATCTTCAATTGGCCGTCAGATAATGACTGGTTGGAAGATGGACCATGAACCAATCAGAATATACGGATTTGAATCCGATCTACTTGTGAAATATAGTTAGAACTGAATTCTGATAACATAGATCTTAATCAAATAGTTGAATTCTAAGGTGTTTACCATGAAATATGACAATCTCAGGATCAATTTAGTTATGAGTACATAGTTTGATATTTCCTGATTTTCTAATTACGATAAAAGTTCTTCAAATCTGTTTTATGTGTTACTAATTTAGTAAACAATTTCATAAATGTGTAGTGCTCGGCATTGAGTTATATTCAACATGTAGGCGTAAATATTACTCGCCAGCTGTTTAAGGTATCCAAAATATGTATAATGGGTTACAAACCAGTAACCCAACAGCTAAAATTGATGTTCATTAACTACTAAGTCAAATTATTGCTACTGTACGTTATTCAATATATTCTTTGATCTATACTTTTTTCTTAGTCCATAAAAAGTTTCCAATCCAAGCAAAATATGATAACAGGAAAAGTATACAAGGCATTGAAAATTATATTATTAACGAAATGTAATAACGTCAGCAAATTTAAAAACAAATTTAATATGCATAAAAACGATAATAATTATGCATAAATAACTGTTAATCACAGATGATAATAAAGGAGATAAAAACATACTTGTTTAGAACTGATTAGTGATAAAGCGAATTGATACCAGATATGAAATTGATGATAAGAAAACTTGAGTGCTTTTTCAAGGCACTACATATAATCATAAATGTAAAAATGAAGAGAAAATTGTGAAATATGACCATATTTATCTATGGAGTAATTATTGTTGAAATTACAATCATTGGCATGATATCAATTCACTAAATATATTTTGAATAGTCAATGCTGTTCGTTGGAGAGTTATATGAAACTATGTTTAGTTATCTCCAACCCTTTTGTTAGGAGATTAAGGTACACTAGTAAAAATCACAGTTAGAAACAATACAAATATACCAGAATTCACTCAACAATGAAGGCTGAGAAACTTTGGATTAATCGTTATTCGGCAACTTACTTTAGACCTTTCATCATGTTAGATGCAGCCCTAACACAAACACAAATTACATCCTTTTTCGAAATTTTATGACTTGAGTCAACTAGCAGAAAGCTATAAACCAATAACTTGGGGGTTTTTAGCCGCATATTAATTGATTTAATCTTATGAACACCTGACAAGTTGATCAACAGAATACGATTAGGAGGCTGAAGGAACTAGATATTATGACATTTGTTATTACTCAGTGGTTGGTTAAGGTTGATATGAAAGGGAAAGAATTAAGCCTCGGTAATTAGGGATTCTGTTGAAGAGTGAATAATTTATGGTTGTCATACCCTCCAATTATTTAGTTGTTAAACTACTACTAATCATATTTATTTTTTGTGTTTGACACTTTGTATGTAAGAATATTTGTTTTCAAAAAAATCTATTCTATTGGCTGGAGGTTTTTACTTTTTATATCAGTTCATTTGAGGACTCACGTTAATAATTCGATCTCGTGAGAAACTATCACTCGGCCTCACTATATCATTGCATATTATCAAACGATCAGTGCATTTTCTTCATTAATTTAACAAACTCCATATGTCCTTTTATTACAAACTATACAGAAGCGTGCTTTGTATCAGTGACTTACTAAGTGACAGCTAAGTGATTAACCATTAAGCTACTCTCTAAATTGCGAAGTCGGACTAACCCGTTTAATTTATATAACTTTTTCGTTGACTAATTGTAGTTATCGTAATCACTTACTTTAAAACTGTTGTGTTTGTTTGTCTCAATTCGTTATCTAGTGCGTATACAATAACTTCAAAAATACGGAGTGCGAATGGTAGTGAAATTTATAAACATTGACTATTATAATTGAATACAAGGCATAATTTTGTCTTATAGCATCCTGTTCATGATAAAAGATACGTGGTATTTGAGAAAGATAACAAATAATACCAAAGATTCTAATCATGGAAACGATGAAAATGACAATTATAGATGCAAAAATGCTCGCTGATCAGTCTACATATTGGGCTTTCAAACATCAATAAAGACCTTTCTGTCTGATCACGATATTATTCCACATTTAACTCGGATTATAATACCAGTATGATGTTGGATTTTGTGAATTTAAGTTATTCATCAAGTTAGCTAAAGCTTAATTGACCTGGACTGCGATTGATTTCAGTTGAGAACAAGCGAATATCCCTCACTTACGCAACAATTAAACACAGAATGTCATGATTTCGAATAAAAATCGGGAACTGATGATTGGCAGTAGTGTCTGGTAACTTAACAGACAAACCATTAGAAAACATGAAGTGATTAATAAAGTATTGGTCTGAAGTAGTAAAACAATACTGATTTCGTGATTGGAGTTTGTGATAATTGAAATCGACGACCAAAGGTTGCGCATTTGATGAAAAAAGTTCTAGTGGAGAAAATGTACAATAAATGTTATCATTGTACAGATTTTGACAGTTTATTATTGCCAGGTCTCTTCGAAGTGCGATACGAACAAATAAGCCATCAAGCCATGTATCATGATGTGTTGATTTGCCTCCGTAGACCATTAGAAAAAGTTAAAGTGACTAATCATTTAAATCCAGATGACATCAAAACTTTAATTATTATAGCTATATAGTGAATAAATATGCACAGGTAACTTCAATTTTCAATGATTACGCGCATCACATACATACTGAGCTGTTTTTTCTCCAAGAAAGCATAATAGTTCAAAATAACTCACTTTAGAAAGAAATTTGAAATGTTTAACTTTAGTAAGAAGTATGGCAAGTAAGTCGTAGACAGCAGCTGCATTGTTAAATGATCGAACTATTTGTGGTTCAGATAACTCTGATGGTCGATTAAGTATAACATCTTGACTAGCCTACAAATTTATACACACGAAAATAAACATCATAAAACAACAGCCCAAAGTAATTGTTTATCTTGTCTTTAAGATATCCGAGTCGTATATTTAGAAACTGATTGTAATTAACTGGTGAAAATAAGAGTATAGCATTAGTGAGTATCCCCGTGACACCTCAATAACACTATGAACAGCTTTAACGATTAGACAGTTTGAGAACACTTTAATTATAAATGATAAAACTTCCATAATTTTTTTTACAATATTGTATGATGTTCAGTTAAAGATGAGTGGTTTTACACAATTATTACGAGTTGACAATCAAAGCTTTTAAATATTTTTAAGTTGGAAGTAGTAGGTATGATAACACTTTTGATTTGAATAAAGAAAATTCCAGCTTAGACAGAAATATGGTATAAAAATACATTATGTAATAAATTTTACTCATCTCAGGACATAGGCAAAATAGACAACCAAAAAATGTAGAGTAAAATACAAGATAAACCACAGAATATAGAACAATTTATTTATTAGTTCTCTGTTTAGTACAACCAGAGCAAAAATTTTTATAGGTACATGGAACGTTCGAACAATGTGGGAAACCGGGAAGACCAGTCAAATAGCAATGGAAATGAGGAGATACAACTTAGCAGTACTGGGAATCAGCGAAACCCACTGGACCCAAGCTGGACAGAAAAGGCTAGCTACGGGAGAGATGCTGCTATACTCCGGTCACGAGGAGGACAATGCTCCACACACTCAGGGAGTCGCTCTTATGCTGTCCAAAGTAGCACGAAATGCACTTGTAGGATGGGAGTCTCACGGATCCAGAATCATCAAAGCATCATTCAAAACAAAGAAGGAGGGGATCTTAATGAATATTATCCAATGTTATGCACCCACCAATGATAGCAACGACGACATTAAAGATCAGTTCTACGAGCGGCTGCAGTCAATCATTGAGAAATGCCAAGAAAGGACCTAACTATTCTGATGGGAGATCTAAATGCCAAAGTCGGAATAGACAACACCGGATATGAAGATATCATGGGACGACATGGACTGGGACAGAGAAACGAAAATGGAGAAAGATTTGCAAATCTATGTGCATTCAACAAATTGGTCATAGGAGGCACAATATTTCCACACAAGCGTATACACAAGGCTACATGGATCTCACCGGACCACACTACAGAGAACCAAATAGATCATATTTGCATCAACAAAAAATTCCGAAGGACAATGGAAGATGTAAGAACCAGGAGAGGTGCTGACGTAGCTTCAGATCACCACCTAGTTGTAGCCAATTTAAAACTGAAGCTAAAAAAGAACTGGACAAGTGGACAAACAGCACTACAAAGGTTCAATACAGCCTTCCTTCGAGATACTGACAAACTCAATGAATTCAAGATAGCTCTCAACAACAGGTTCCAAGCCTTACAAGATCTACTGAAAGAAGAAGAAACTAGTATGGAGGACAACTGGAAAGGCATCAAGGAAGCATTAACTTCAACGTGTCAAGAGGTTCTGGGCCTAAAGAAACACCATCATAAGGAATGGATCTCTATAGAAACACTGGACAAGATCAAAGAAAGGAAGAACAAGAAGGCAGCAATTAACAACAGCCGAACACGAGCAGAGAAAGTTCAAGCACAAGCTGAATACATAGAAGCAAACAAACAAGTGAAGAGGTGCATTAGAGCCGACAAGAAGAAATACGTGGAAGAACTAGCAACGACGGCAGAAAAAGCTGCTAGAGAAGGAAATATGAAACAGCTTTACGATACAACGAAGAAACTAGCAGGGAAATACAGTAAACCAGAGAGGCCGGTCAAAGACAAAGAAGGCAAGCCAATCACCGAAATTCAACATCAGCGTAACAGATGGGTGGAATACTTCGAGGAACTCCTGAATAGGCCGGCTCCAATGAATCCACCGGACATCGAAGCAGCACACATAGATCTTCCTATAGATGTCAACCCACCAACGACGGAAGAAATTAGAATGGCCGTCAGACAAATCAAGAACGGGAAAGCAGCAGGACCCGACAACATACCAGCTGAAGCACTGAAATCAGACATCGAAGCAACCACAAGCATGCTGTACCTTCTATTCAAAAAGATTTGGGAGGAGGAACAAGTGCCGATGGACTGGAAAGAAGGACACCTCGTCAAGATTCCAAAGAAAGGAGATCTGAGCAAATGTGAAAACTACAGAGGCATTACACTACTGTCAATACCAGGGAAAGTCTTCAACAGAGTGTTGCTGAACCGGATGAAGGATGCAGTAGACGCCCAACTTCGAGATCAACAAGCTGGATTCCGTAAGGATCGGTCGTGCACAGACCAAATTGCAACACTACGGATCATCGTCGAACAATCAGTGGAGTGGAACTCATCACTATACATCAACTTCATTGATTATGAAAAGGCATTCGACAGTGTAGATAGGAGGACATTATGGAAACTTCTTCGACACTACGGAGTTCCTGAGAAGATTGTCAACATTATCCGGAACTCATACGACGGACTACAGTGCAAAGTAGTGCATGGAGGACAGCTGACAGATGCATTCCAAGTAAGGACTGGAGTCAGACAAGGCTGTTTACTCTCTCCCTTCCTCTTTCTTCTGGTGGTCGACTGGATTATGAAGACCTCGACATCTGAAGGAAAACACGGAATACAATGGACAACTCAGAATCAATTAGACGATTTGGACTTCGCAGACGACCTAGCCCTCCTATCACGTACACACGAACAGATGCAGATGAAGACAGCCAGTGTAGCAGCAGTCTCTGCATCAGTAGGCCTCAGCATACACAAAGGGAAAACCAAGGTCCTCAAATTCAAGGCGGAGAACAGCAATCCAATCACTCTTGATGGCGAAACTCTGGAAGATGTAGAGTCCTTCACATACCTAGGAAGCATCATCGATGAACAAGGAGGTTCAGATGCAGACGTAAAGGCGAGGATCGGCAAAGCAAGGGTCGCATTCCTACAATTGAAGAACATATGGAACTCAAAACAACTTTCAACCAATATCAAAGTGAGAATCTTCAATACGAACGTCAAGGCAGTTCTACTGTATGGAGCTGAAACTTGGAGAACTACAACAACCACCATCAAGAAAGTACAAGTATTTATAAATAGCTGCCTACGCAAGATACTCAACATCCACTGGCCGGATACCATCAGCAATAGCCTTCTGTGGGAGAGAACAAAGCAACTTCCAGCTGAAGAAGAAATTAGGAAAAGACGATGGAAATGGATAGGACATACATTACGCAAACCGTCAAACTGCATCACGAGGCAAGCCCTAACTTGGAACCCTGAAGGGAGGCGAAAAAGAGGAAGGCCAAAGAACACATTGCGTCGGATTATAGAAGCAGATATGAAAAGGATGAATTACAACTGGACGGAGCTAGAAAGGATTGCCCAGGACAGGGTTGGATGGAGAATGCTGGTGAGTGGCCTATGCTCCTTCACGAGGAGTAACAGGCGTAAGTAAGTAAGTAAGTAAGTAAGTTTAGTACAAATTGAATGAATCATGCACTAACTGGAAAATCGAAATTCGACAATAATTATCATATGCCCCCAAATGTCCTGGTATGGCCGAGAGTGGGGAGAGCCGGCTCTCCCTCTCGAAATGCTCTCACATGGCCACGCGTATATAACCTCTGCCAGGGAAGTCCTACTCATTGCTTTCTCGTGGCGGGGGTGTTGTTTACGGATTGAGAGGACGAAAAGCAAACGTCCGGCGCTTTAACCGGATTCCAAACCAATGGTGCACATGGGCTCCAGTATCCTGCGGGAACAAATGGCGTATGAACCAATTGTTGGTCACCGGCTTCCATGGGACTGCATCTCCTCACGATGCTCCACTGCCTTGTGAATCAGACCTTCAGGTCGAAGGCTCCGGGTGTGGCCCCCTAAGAAAACCACCTACTTCGGTTTGGGCACCCGGGCAGTATCAGAGCCCTCACACACATCGAATGAGATTTGTGTGGCGCATATGTATTTGGTGCCTCCTTGTACCAATATCTATATGTTAAAATAAATAAATAAATAAATAAATAAATAAATAATCATACCAGATCGAAATGCCTTTCTCTCTCAAGAAACTTTGGAGGATCGATTGAAACTAAGAGTAACATTAGAGTAAATATTTCAATTGTCGTTGCGATCAAGACTACAGTGATAGCGTTGACATCAAAATCCGTCGACTGCAGAACTTTCCACAATTTAAATTAATATTTCAGAGGTACTACAGAAAAGTTCCCTGACAATATACTAAGACAACTCTTCTAAAGGCGTCGGACAATCTAATTGTGTGAAAGTGATATGTGAAGGCGGAAGTTACTTAGTTATTAATTAATTTAGAGAAGCAAAGTCAAAACTAATAACATGAGTTATGGTGCATTTCCCAGTAACAAATACAAGAAAGAACTTATTACACTAGAGAAGTGTGAAGCGTGTTAAAGAGTTCTACAAATCGATGGAATCAACTATAAAACTTCTTAATGAATATATACATATATATTCTTTATCATCTTTCTTATCAGTATCGAAATAGGAAAGCTTACAACACGAATATACATTTATAGTATTACTCACTATGTGCTCGGAAATCATTAACGAAAAAATGGCTTCTTCTATCCGATTGTCTGGAATATATCTATTTGTAGGATATCGATATGGAATTAGTTGTGCATCCTAATATCAAAGAAAATATATGATGAAAACAAAACAGTAGAATACTACAAAATACAAGTAATTTCCTGTGAACTGTTCAATCATGAATCACAACGTTAATAAAAAAACATGGTGTAATAAGCTTTGAACTGGAATAATGCTGAATAAAGTATGATAATTCATATTATGTACCTAGGACAAGACTATTAAGATGAAAATACTTCATCCCCAAACTGCGTTTAACATATTAAATTCAAAGTGTAGATAACATGGAAATATACGGTAACTTACCAAATTACCACATCAAATAAAAACGAATAAATTAACTGATTTATACGGTGTTTTGGGTTTGAGTCATACTTTATGTGTGATTGGCTAGTGATACTACAAGGTTGATCAAACCGAATTAGGTAGAGAGGTGTTCAAGGTTGGGACTCAGTGAATAGAAATTAGACGCCTTAACCACTAGCCCCCGCCACAAACACCACATTATCAACCAGTGAATTCATTTGTTAAGCTTTACGACTGACAATATACAACATAAATTTGTAAATTACGTCCAAGTATGCCGCTTTTATTCAGAATATAGTCTCATATTTCATAAAAATCTAGGAAAACTAAATAAAGGATACTTTTCAACTGACTCTTAGTTGGGAAATAGTTTAGCCAACGGGCACGTTGATTAACAGAGCGACCATGGTTTCTGTGACGACAAATCTACTGAGTGTTGTTTTGTAATCTTGAAATGACCATTTGAATATGTAGTAAATATATCAGACGAAACAAAAACTGGTTTGTTCCGTAACTTCTCGTTTATTAATTGAAGGACGGATTGTGAAAAGTATAAATCTACTTTGGTCATAGAACTCATACTAATCAGTATTGAATGATATAATCGTTATACTGACAAGTAGAGATATTACGATACAGATAGTTACTGCCCATGATTTTCGTTTACAATTGGGAAAATAAGGTAAGTCTTTTTTAATGGCTTTACCTCTTTCGAGACGGAATGTGGCAATAGAAGAGAACTGTTTGTCAGCGACTACGTACAGGTTTCTAAGCGAGTCAGAGGCTATACATACGTAAGAATATAACCACTTTTATGCCCGTGTACTGCAAATTATTACTTCGTAATTTTCGAACAACTAGGTTATGTAATGAATTGGATAGACATATGAATTTGCTGCGGTAACTAAACTTCCTACACTAAGTACCAGTAGCATTTATGGAGACCAGGTATCAATAATAAGATTGTTTGACTGACCTTGAAGAAAGAGCTGTTTAAGATTTGAATGATTTAAAATGATTGATATTTTAGGTTGATTAGTCCTAAACACTTGGACCTCAAAAAGACATTCCATACCTTTCCTTGCATGTGTTTGAAAACTGAAGGTATTATATTTATAGGTGTCATTACCAAGGTTTGATTTGATAATTTCGAATAAATTGAGCATCGGGTTGATTGTTATAAATAAAAATAATATATTTGTAATATCCCAATGAGTAGAAAATTGGATTTTCTGACGTTTCGTGACTTAGTGTAAGTCACTTCTTCGGAGAATTTATTACAAATATATTATTTTGTATTTATATTTAGTATAAATCAAGTGGAAAATTTGTTTCTCTAAAACAATGAAAGTACAGAAGGAAACATTTGTTGAATAAAAATAAAAATGAGTGGTTTAAATTAATAGCAAACCTTATCTGTTGAGGAATCTTGATCCATCGATGTATTATACTTGTGATATGTCTTTATGCATACACTCCGTAACAGTAGTTCAGAAAACCGTAAGGATAAAGCTCGTCTAAGAGACCTGGTAGCAGGCAACTCACAGTACCCAAGAATAGTTCGATACTTCGAAATAGCACCAGGTATGTCACTTGGAGAAAATAAAAATTTGGAGGCAAAACAGTTGTGTCAATCGAGATCGCAAATATCAAATATATTTTTATTTTATACGGCCAAATGTTAACCATCTTCATCTTTTGAGAGTCCGGAATCCGGATCTCAATAAAACAAACTCAAGAATTACTCTGCCATTACAAATCACACAAGAACAATATCTACCTTAATTTTTTTAGAACAATTTTTTTATTATATATGGTACCGAAATACGAAGCATGATGTCAAGCCAAATGCTAATGAGGAACGGCAATCTGAAATAATGGCCATATGTGCCAGGCTTTACGTCGCGTACAACTGACAAAATAATTAGTTTGATTTATTAGTACTATATGAAGATCTAATTTAAACTGGAGTAGCATATAAGCCCTTCAATAGAGGTCTTGCTCCTGTTTTTAAAAGGTCACACTACTCAATGCTTGAATGCCTGTAGTGAGGCATCACAGAAAGATCCGAGTGGTACATACAACCAGCGCCAACTGATAAATGAATAACCAGCTGGAGATTTTATTGAGGACGTAGGTGGGAAAGTTTACGATCTTCGTAAGTCATAAACACTAAGGATGGGTTTCAGATATACTCTGTGCATGCTTGACTTACGAATCCCGACCGAAGCTGCTACCTTGACGCGGTGGTCGGGCTTGCCTATCGTAATGACCCAACCGAGCTATATTGGCTGGAACATATGTTCCTGTAGGTTCTACCATGCCAGGCAGGTCGATTGGTGAACGGTAAGACTAAAAGCAGCAACTCAAGGTCTGAGGGCGAAGTCGTACTGCTGACTGTAGAGGGGTGTGACAGCAGTAAGGTGTTTCCCTCGGACAACCAGCATCTGCAGCGATGCTGCCTTCCCACAAGGAGGGGTGGGGTTAGAAAAGGTCGACCCTAAAAATGTCACACCTCACCTTACCTCACGGATTTCCGTCTCCGGCGGTAAGGCCCTTTGAAGAACGGAGCTAACACGTTAAAAACCTTCCACAAAAAGGCCGTGCGCGACCGGCCTCAAGCAGTTGTCCCTTGGGCTCTGCGGTCACGCTCCCAGGTCGTCAAGACCAACACTAATCCAATTTCCTTTTCAGGTTCCTCAAGAAATACCCTTCCACGGTGTGGGCAGCCGGGAAGTGACATCAGCCCTCATACCCGTAACAGTACACGAGACCAAGTTGTTCACATTCAAATCCTTCCTACACCTCCTAATACCTCTCTTATCTCCATGACTAACCCTCCTCACGTCTCTTTATCACCTCGCACCGCTAGGGCAAACGATTCGAGTACGTGGAACGCCATTCCTGGTCTCCTGAAACCACGCTCTAAACTACACGTAGGAGCTTTTAACGTACGAACACTGTGCCAAATAGGACAGCAGGCTTCCTTAGCTAAGACTTTAGAATCTCGCGCCATCGATGTGTGCTGCGTCTCCGAAACGCGCATACAGGATCCGAGTAGCGTCATTCATTTGACCTCACCATGCCAAAATAAAGAACCGACTCGATTCACGCTTCGTGTATCTGGAAGCCCTGATTCTGCTTCCCGTGGCCTCGCCGGCGTAGGTATAGCATTGAGTCCTAGGGCAGAACTAGCTCTCTTAGAGTGGATCCCAGTAGACAGTCGTTTGTGCGCTGTCCGACTGAACGGAACAGTAAGGATCCGAAAAGATAGGGACACTCGTCGTTGCCTCTTCGTCGTCTCTGCCTATTCTCCCACTGACTGCAGCGCAGATGATGTAAAAGATGAGTTTTACAGAAAGCTTTCCGACCTTCTCCGAAAAGCTAGGCGCTCGGATGTAGTAATAGTGGCCGGTGACTTTAATGCTCAAGTAGGTAAACTAAGCGATAGGGAAAGACACCTAGGTGGATCTTATGGTGTCGTGGCTCAAAGAACAGATAATGGCGACCGTCTGTTGCAGCTATGCTCAGATAACCGCCTGTTCCTTGCAAATACTAACTTTAAGCATAAGGAAAAACATCTTTTAACATGGCGACCCCCTAATTCGTCCCAACGTTGGACCCAAATAGATCACATCGCTATCAGCCACCGATGGAGGGGCTCGATAGAAGACTGTCGCTCATTCTGGAGCACATGCTTAGATTCAGATCATGCTCTAGTGCGAGCGCGTATTGCTTGCGTCTTACTGGACGTAGGAAAGACGCTGCAAGGAAACCTCTTAGGGCCCTACTTAATGATAGTCAAGCTAAGAGTATATTTCAGGAACAACTAGGAAAACAGTTAGGCAGCCATGTATGTGATGCCCACCCCGATGCAGCATGGAATGATATCCGAAAAGCTGTGGAAACAGCAGTGATATCTGCTAGTAAGGTAAACCGTAAGGTTAGGGAGCAACACTGGATCTCAGCAGCATCTATCGCACTGATAGATGCTCGGAAACTCATTCCACCTGGCTCTGAACATAATGAAGAGCGGAGTCAGCTTAAGCGCAAGCTGACAAGAAGTCTACGCAATGATCGTGAACAGTGGTGGGTAGCGAAAGCAAGAGAGATGGAAAAGGCAGCGGCAATAGGTAATAGCAGACAATTGTTCAGACTTGTTAAGGAAACCGGAATTAGGAAACCGACTGTTAGCGAAACAATCTCAGAGAAAGATGGACATATTATACATTCTCAATCCAGGAGATTGGATCGATGGGCAGAACACTTCGGTTTCCCACGATCTCCAGTCAACCTGAATGGCAAGTTAATGTAGGTCCTCCGTCTCTTTACGAAGTTGAAAAAGCCATAGGAAATCTGAAGCGAGGGAGAGCAGCAGGCCCTGACAGGTTTACTCCTGAGATTTTTAAGGATGGTGGTCCAGTATTAGCAATGAGATTAACCGAGGTCTTAGGTAGAATTTGGGAACTGGACGTAATCCCATCTGACTGGTCTCAATCACTGATTGTGCCAGTCTATAAGAAAGGACAAAAGTCCTCTTGTGACAATCACAGAGGAATCAGTTTGACTAATATAGTGTCTAAAATATTAGCTTCAATAATACTTCGACGCCTAATCAAAGCTCGTGAAGAGCAGATTAGAGAAAACCAGGCCGGTTTTCGACCTGGACGTGGTTGTATAGATCAGATATTCACACTACGTCAGGTTCTAGAACACAGACACACATTCAGACGCCCCACAATGGTAGTATTTCTCGACCTTAAGGCGGCATTCGACTCTGTTGATCGTGAGGTTCTATGGCAGTGTTTGTCACTGAAAGGAGTACCAAAGAAGTACATTAACCTTATAAAGGCTCTCTACTCGAACACAACTGGTAGAGTGAGAGCTTATGGCGAACTGTCATCAGAATTGATTACCTCAAGTGGTGTTCGTCAGGGCTGTCCACTCTCCCCATTCTTGTTCAACTTTGTCATTGACGTACTTTTAGAGATAACACTCTCCTCATCTAAATTTCCAGGGGTTGAACTTCTACCGGGAGGTTCACTTGTTGACTTAGAATATGCAGATGACATAGTTTTATTTGGTGAAGACGCTGACAAAATGCAGAGTCTTCTGACCACTCTAAGCAACAATGCAAGCATGTTCGGGATGCGATTCTCCCCCTCGAAATGCAAAATGTTGCTTCAGGATTGGGTTACATCGACACCCGAACTAGTGATAGGGAGTGAAGTAGTTGAGTGTGTCGACCGCTTCACTTATCTTGGAAGTCTCATCAGCCCTTGTGGTTTAGTGTGACGAAATCTCAGCACGGATACAGAAGGCTCGACTAGCTTTTGCCAACTTGCGTCATTTATGGCGTAGGCGAGATATCCGTCTATCAACCAAAGGACGTGTTTACTGCGCAGCAGTTCGTTCCGTCCTACTTTATGGCAGTGAAACATGGCCGGTAAGAGTAGAGGATATTCGTAGGTTACTAGTATTTGATCATAGGTGTCTTCGAAACATTGCTCGTATATCATGGGACCATCGAGTAAGTAACACAGTTGTTAGGAAACGGGTACTAGGTAAGGATGGCAAATCAATTGATGAAGTAGTGAAACTTCATCAGTTGAGATGGCTGGGACACGTGTTACGTATGCCCAACGACCGACTGCCTCGACGTGCTATGTTCAGTGGTATAGGAGTAGGTTGGAAGAAAGCTAGGGGCGGCCAAACCAAAACATGGCACAAGTCCATGAAGTCACTGACAAGTGGACTGAGTCATGTTGGTAGGTGTAGACTACCTGGTTGGGGACCGCGAGATGATAGCAACCGATGGTTAGAGACCCTGAATGACATGGCTCAAAATCGTTTGCAATGGCGCAGGTGCATCCACTCTCTGTGTTCTCCCAAATTTTGATCTCCTTATTCCTCCTTGTCTCTTTTTTTTCTCCTCTCAAATTTATTTCACTGTATTATACTCTTTAAATAACATCTCCAAACCCTAATCTTCCCGATTACTGCTTATACTCTATTACCTCTACCACTACGGGATTTGAATCGACACTGCATCTCTGTGCTAATGTGGTGTGGCAACTCGAACTGATGTGCATACGTACGAAGTTCTACGTTGTTACTGACTGACTGACTTAGGAATTCGCGATGCAGAATTAGTTGTTACTGTTGTTAGATTTGCTAAAGATGGGTGTTAATAAGAAATCTTAATAATCAATTTAAAAATATTGTTTTTTATAGGCGGTTTTCTTAGGGGGCCACACCCGGAGCCTTCGACCTGAAGGTCTGATTCACAAGGCAGTGGAGCATCGTGAGGAGATGCAGTCCCATGGAAGCCGGTGACCAACAATTGGTTCATACGCCATTTGTTCCCGCAGGATACTGGAGCCCATGTGCACCATTGGTTTGGAATCCGGTTAAAGCGCCGGACGTTTGCTTTTCGTCCTCTCAATCCGTAAACAACACCCCCGCCACGAGAAAGCAATGAGTAGGACTTCCCTGGCAGAGGTTATATACGCGTGGCCATGTGAGAGCATTTCGAGAGGGAGAGCCGGCTCTCCCCACTCTCGGTCGTATCAGGGCATTTGGGGGCCTCGTTACAAGTGTGACGAAGTGATGCTTGTAAGGAACAGTCTACGGTGTGGTATACTACATCAGAGTATAAAGCTAGGAAACGGTTATCGGAAATGGAGAACAAAATCTGTAGAACGTGTGATAATAAAGAAGTCTTTATGGTATAAGAGCACTGTAAAACGAATAAGCAATATAACCGATGGTATACGCTACAGTAGACACATAAAGCGGACACACTGAACCATTGTCTATTTTAAAATGAAAGATCAAGGATTAAGATACAATAGTTATTAGTGATATCATAGGTGGTCACCGCCAAATGATGCATCATAGCACTCTCGAATCCGATTTACCAGAACGAAAACGTCAGCAACTTAAAATATACGCAGACGGCTTAAAGTACTTGCTTTTTGTGTTGTTAAGTGGATAAACTATATTGTCCTTACCTCAAGATTTCTGCACCTTCCATAAGATTGCACTAATTATGATGTTTTGCTTATTTGGCTGTTATATAGGACGTAAAATTTAGGCGATAGCCTAGCTCCCTTAAATTTTTGTATTTCAGAAGATAAAATCACAATGCCTGACTAAAATTCTGAATGTTTTCTAGCTCATCAGTCTGAATCTTTTTCTGTTTTTAATAGATTTCTACAAGAATATTTTCCGACACCTCTTATGACATATCACCAAATTAGATACAAATTTACAACTAATCATAACTTCATACAAAACAGGACTGTTGAGAGTTGCCGCAAATCAAAACAGCACTTAAGAATTGGTTGACTACACCCAGTAATACTTAACAGTGATACAAAATATTATTAACATATTGTGCTGAAAATGACAAACATCAATTGCTTTGTTTGGTAAACACAAACATATCATATGCCAAAGAACTTAGAAGGCAAAACAAAAATACTTCTTTACCCCTTTTTAATCAGAATTTCCGGAATCTTTTGTATGACTTTTTCTACAATCGGTGGTACACTGACAGATGAATTGGTATGCTCTGGTTGAGTTCGATCTAATTCCTGAAGATGTTTTATGCACATGTGACAAGCCAAGTTGAATAAATCAATGATATTGTCTCTCTCTTTTGATATGTCAGATAGGCTTTTCAGCTTTGACTGTTCTTCTTTGCACAAACCTACGAAGTCAAAACTAGTTGAGTAAAAGAAGCATACCCAATACAGCCAAGCCCTCACTAACGATGTAATTGAAACGCAGTGTAATAGGGTCCATTTTGGCAGATAACAAATTGAGGGAACTTAAAAGCTTTAGAGCTTTTTCACTATTCCCCTGTAGATAATATATTTTTCCAAGAAGGACAGATGCCTCAAATTTATATTGCTCGTCATTTCCATTCGTAACTTCTTCCGCATACCTCTTAGCCTTGGACAAATTTTCTGGTGGTAATTCACCTTGATCGTTCCATTCTAGTTCATTTTCACAAAGTATTAGCTGATTTAACATATCTATTACAAGCAAGATATATATTAATTTTTTAAAATTTTCCTACGAAGAGACGTGGAGCGGTCGGATCCATGGGCTAGGATTAATTCTAAGGCCTTACTCCAAAAGCCCTCAGAACGGTATCGTTCAACATCTGTCTCGATTTTACCCTTTTTAGTTTTGACAGCCTTCACCGTAGACATCCCATTGAAAGACCGCCAGGAATATGAGGATTAAGTATGCCGCAACGCCTCAGTTTTTAGAAACAAATTTATGGTGTTTTCTCATGTATGCTTCACTTAGAATGCATTACGATTTCGACAAATATCATATGGTGTAAACTATTTGTTTTAAATGTTTTGAGATTCAGATTTCTATAGTAAGTATAGGCCTACGGCCATTGATGTGGCCTTAAATAAATCCCCAAACTAAATAACTCTGTAAGTCTTCGACATTGGATGCTGACCACATTAGCTTTAATGAGCTCAGCTAACTGAAGGCGCTCGGTCATGTATCCACACGAGATCACGAGTGGTGACATCGTGCTCAACATCCCCTTCAATCGCTAGCCAGATTAGATCAGTCGATCCTCGATATACTGATAGCGTATCAAATGTATCTTTGAACCTCCTCGCTTCCGTCTCTTGATTTCACTTGGTGGGTATGCTCCATATTAGAAGGTGTTACTGGTTAAAGTGTTATCGAAATTCAAATACCTTTGGCATCTTCATTGGTCAGCTCGACGTGATCTGGTACACCAAATTGTAAACTGTGGGTGTGTCCTTTCCTGGAATTCTGTATGTCGTTGCTTTATTTTGTTTTTATATATATTGTGATATTTTTTCCGTGTTTTCGGACATATTTATATATTTTTTCTCCCTCTTCCGTTCTCGCACTTTATATTTCAACATGACTGAACAGACACTCAAGGTACTTAAGTTAAAGACTATGTCCCCACTTTCGTTTCAGATAATGCTCTTCTGGCCGGAAAAAATCGAAGCCTGGTTCTGCTACGCAGAAGCCAACTTCCACGAGCACGGCGTGAACGACACACATCCACAATTCCTTGCAGTAGTCAAGGCACTACCACGCGAATTCAACAGGTGCGTAACACCTAGTATGTTTACTAGTGATGTTTCGGAACTTTACGAAAACATGGAAACGTTCTATTCTTAAACGCTGAGACCTAAACTATGGACAAAGGTTAGACCAACTTCTTAATAACATCGACCAACAACACGGTTCTGCGGCGGACATGTTGCAACGAATGAGAGAGGTTATAGGTCAAAGAACCCTCGATGATGGCCCACTCAAACAACTTTCCTTATCCAAACTTCCTCAGCAGGTTCAAGTTGTGCTGGTCTCGTATCAAAACAACGCCTTAGACGAGCTGGCTGCACCACCAAACCTTCCAACGTCGACGTTTTTTCAGTCAAGGAAAAACCTCAAGCGACAGACTGACATTATGGAACTGTGTCATCAACTGACACGTTATCTGCGATTTCGTAATGACCGTAAACGGTCACATACCCGCGAAGAAATTACTTCATGTAGGCGATCCGTCTCTTAACCACGGGAGACGGATAACCCCGATGGGTGCTCGTATCATAACCAGCATAGGAAATCTTCTAGAAATTGAAAAAAACTGCGATTTTCCAAATTGAAAACCAACCGATACGAAAAACGAATCGGGAAACTTCCAAGACAGCACGCGTTAACGGCAACCGTAGCCGGCGAACATAGCCGTCTGTTATACGTCACAAGTGTGGTAACGGAAGTTCTCTACCTCGTCGATACTGATGCAGAACCTAGCGTCCTTCCAGCGAATTCCAACGACCGGCTTCAGGCGGCAAACGGAAAGCCTATCGCTACGTATGGAAAAGAGTACGTTTACCTTAACGTGGGTTTATGCAAATCCATTCACTGGATCTCCGCTGTTGCAGGTGTTTCTATGTGTTGGGATATTCAGGAAAATATCCCAAAAATTATCCTGTTAAGCTTAATGCTATCCTTGGACATGAAATGGTATCATCTTATTGGTCAATACTTGTTTAACGTGTCATTTTCCTACTGGTTAATATTGTACAATGTTATTTTCTATTTTATCGTACGATGTGGTCTGCTTGACTGGTATATCAACAAAGTATGTTTGAAATATAATGATTCATATATCCGAGGCTGTGACTTGTGTTCTGGACTCAACTGGCTGGGTTAGATAGGGAAGCGAGGCCAATCAGAACCCTAGGCTGCGTCTTTGGTCCGATCAATAGTTCGCCTACTCTTAATCAGCAGCATTTATTTTCAGTTATAACACTATGTCAATCATTGCTATAGACCTCTTACGACACCATAATCTACTCATCGATACGCGCAAACGAAGGCTAGTAGACGGAACCACTAATTCATTTGTTTGCGTAACTTCTTTTCTGGTCGCAGATTATCTCTAGTCACACTTAGGCTAACGATAGACTCATTATATCAACCACTACTCAATAAGTATTCTGGGATATACCACACGCAACCGAAATTACCGTGTGTAACCAGCAATGTTGCACATCACATCACGACTACGGGACCATCTGTATTCTCGAAAGCACGCCGACTAGCCCCCGAAAAGCCAAGTTTGTCCAGAAGCGAATCCGATTACATGACAGAGTTGGGAATCATACGACCGTCAAACAGCCCATGGGCATTTCCGTTGCACATGGTCCCTATAAAGGGCAGCAACGATTGCCATCCAACTCGTGACTATCTGCGATTGAGTGCGAAAACCATTCCCAATCGTTACTCGTTGCCTCATATTCACGATTTACAGCTACCTTGAAAGTTACAACTATCTTTACGAAAATCGACTTGGTTAAATCTTATAACCGAATCCCTATGGCTACTGACGATATTCCAAAAACAGTCATTATAACTCCCTTCGGACTCTACGAATTTTCGCGAATGCCTTTTGGTCTAAGAAAAGCTGCTCAAACATTCCAAAGGTTCATAGACCACATTTTTCGAGGTCTCAACTTCGGACATATGTATGTTGATGACATCCTAATAGCAAGTACGGACAGAGAATCCCATCTCAAGCATCTGTATCTTGTTTCCGACCGACTACAAAAACATGGCATTACTGCAACCATTCAGAAATGCCAAATCGGAACTGACTCATCAGACTTCCTAGAACACACTATTGATTCGCAAGGCATTCGACTCCTTAGGACCAAAGTGGCGGCCATTCTGGATTACCCAGAACCAACCACCGTCAAGCAATTACGCAAGTTTAACAGCCTTGTAAGTTTCTATAGACGATTCATACCGAAATACGCGTTACTTATGAAACCTCTTGCCGACCAACTTCGTGGAAATGCGAAATCTATGAATCTGGACGATACCGCGCGAAAAGTATCCTTCACAGTTAAGGAACGTATCGCTCAAGCAACAGTGCTTGTTCATCAGGACACGGAAGCACCCATTAGTATTGCAGTAGACGCATCCAACTCAGCAATTGGAGGAGTCTTACAGTAATGGGTTAACCACTCCTGGCAACCTCTGGCATTCTTCTCGAGACGGTTGCTAGACACTGAATCAGGGTACAGCACTTTCGGTAGGAAGCTCCTAGCTATGTATTGGGCTGTAGGGCATTTTCAACACTCTATCGAAGGCCGAGGATTTGATCTTTTCACCTATCACGAACCTCTTATCTTCTCTTTAAGCTCATCTTCAGACAAGTACTCACCACATGAATCTCGACAACTGGACTACATTTCGCAGTTTACTTCAGACATTCAACACACTTCTGGAGCAAACAATGTAGTCGCAGACGCGTTGTCCCGCATAACTTCCTAGAACAGTTTCCAAGGAGTCGACCTTCTTAAACTCGCCCAGCCTCAAAAAGAAGACATTGATCTTCAGCACGAGTTATTGTCTACAACTCTCAGGCTACACACAAACAGATGGGAACAGGTAAGGAAAGCTTTGTGACACATCTACAGGTAGGGATCGCTCAATCGCGCCGAAACATTATCGAAGCAACGTCTTCAATACGTTGCACAAACTTTCTCATCCAGGTGTTCGTGCAACCATCAAGCTTATAGCAGAACGGTTTCGCTGGCCTGGTATGAATAAAGACGTGAGGGAGTGGGCGAGCTCCTGTATAAGCTGTCAAAAATCTAAGGTTATCAGACACATCAAATATCCCTTAGGCTCTTTCGAAACTCCCGATGCTCATTTCGACCATGTTCACCTGGATTTGGTAGGAACTTTACCAGAATCAAATAATAATATTAATAATATATTTCTGCATGTGTAGGTACACGCCATTTTTACAGGCATGATCTATAAATTATAACGTTTGTTGGTTCATAAAATCTTCTCAACTTATTAAGTTTATAGTTGTTATAAAGTATACCCGTGGGGCGCTTGCTGTAAACTGTGACCTTAAAGAGACGCGTACGTCAGTTTGTTCCAGACGTCAGAAGTTTCATAGCTGTGCTCTCAAAGCAAGATTCTGGAGAAGAAAACAGAGAAACAGAAGAGCAGCAAGGCACATGGATATGAACGCCATTTATTGTTTTTTTTTGCCTAACATTATGTAGTAGAACAGACAGAGGTATAATAAATTAGATTAAGTTCATATTATCTCTTGTTAGAGTGAAATGAAGTCAGAGGCTCCATATTAGAGAATGTAGTAATAATGAACAATGAGTTGTGTCGTTTAACAAGTTGGAGTAAGCTCACATGAAGGAAAGGAAGTCAAGGCTGGTACAAGGAAAGCGGTTTATTAGAAGGGTGTGTTTATACAGAGGGTGAAGTGTTAAGAATACTAACGACTATATCTTTTGTTGTCTAACTTTTTTTTCCCTTTTTTCTTTTTTTTATCCGATGCCAGCCACACAATCCTAGTGTAAAAGTACGGGTTTGCATCTTATAGGTTGTCTTAGTAGAAAAGCCAATCCAGCGTAATATTGGAAACGTGAGTCTGAGTGGTGAGCGTAGGAAAACAATCCATATCACAGACTGATTGACTTATTCTCAATCATAAAGAGCCTGATACATACAAAATGTTCTGCCCCACAAACACGGGTGGATTGAAGTTATCGCCTTCACCATCAATGCTTGCTGGTCATTAACTCCACCCTCCCTCCTTTTGTGATGTTAGGCTCATTTAAGCTTATTTTTGTATATATGTCATACCTCACGCAATCCTGTG